GAGGCTGAGGTGAGTAGATTGCCTGAGCCCGCAGGTTTGAGACCCGCCTGGGCAACTTGGTGAGACCTCATCTCTACAATAAATAAAAAAATCAACTGGGCGTGGCAGCGCGCACCTGTAGTTCCAACTACGTGAAAGGCTGAGGCGGAAGGATCACCGGAGCCCAGCAGGTTGAGGCTGTGGTGGCCTGGAGTGACCACTGCTCTCCAGTCAGGGTGACGGAGTGAGACTCCAACTCAAAAAAAAAAAAAAGAATGCCCATTCTGTAGATGTTGGTTGTTCTGGGAATATCACTTAGGTCGTAGTGGTTGAGAGTGTTATTCAGATTATTAGGTCATATTCTTCCTGATTTTTTTGGCGGGGAGGAGTCTATTCTGTGAGTTTCTGAGAGGAGTATTAAAAGTATAGTTGAGTCTTGTGTTTTTATCTATCCTGACAGTCCCTATCTTTAATTGGAGTTTTTAGTCCACTAACACTGAATTTGATTATTGCTGTTTAGATTTAGATCTACTAATTTATTTTCTGTTTGTTCCTTGTGTTCTTTTGTATTACTTGATTTTTTTTTTTTTTAGTTGGAGTCTTACTCTGTCACCCAGGCTGGAATGCAGTGGCATGCTCATGGCCACCACAGCCTTGACCTGCTGAGTTCAGGTTATCCTTCTGTCTCTGCCTTACAAGTAGCTGGAACTATAGGCATGCGCCACCACACCTGGCTAATTTTTTGATTTATTATAGAGATGAGGTCTTGCCAAGTTGTCCAGACTGGTCTCCAACCCCTGGGCTCAGGCATTTCTTTTACCTCGGCCTCCCAAAGTGCTAGAATTATGGGCATGAGCCACTGTACCCAGCCTTACTTAAAATTTTTTTTCCTCTGAGCAGGAGTCTCAATCTGTCGCCAAGGCTGGAGTGCAGTGGTACATTCACGGCCACCACAGCCTCGACCTACTGGGCTCAGGCAATCCTTCTGCCTCAGCCTTCCATGTAGCTGGAACTACAGGCGCACTCCACCACGCCCGGCTAATTTTTTGAGGTCTCACCAAATTGCTCAGACTGGTCTTGAACCTCTGGACTAGGTAATCCTCTAGCCTAAACCTCCAAAAGTGCTGGGATTACAGGTGTGAGCCACTGTGTTTGGCAACTTGAATATTTTTTAGAGTTTTATTTTTCTTCTCTTTAGCAATCCCTCTGTTGCATTTTTATATAAAGTTGCTGTAGGGATTGCAATACACATCTTTAATTTCTTAGGGTCTGCTTAGGGTAGCAGTATTGTAACACTTCCTGGACAAGTGTAGAAACTGTATCCCATGCGGGACTTCCCCCATTCCTTTGTGCTGTGCACATGATAAGTCCCATAAAACAGTGTTTTGTTTTGTTTTGCTTTGACTCGTCTTATGGATTAAAATCCATCAGCTCTGTGGTTGGCATTTTCCTCTATACTTTTTGATGCTTTATTTCTCTTTTCTTGTAGATTAACCTAACATGGCAGACCAGAGACAGCGCTCACTCTCTACCTCCGGAGAATCACTGTACCACGTTCTTGGACTGGACAAGAATGCAACCTCAGATGACATTAAAAAGTCCTATCGGTAAGAGGCCAAGCCTGGGCCACACATCCCTCCAGAAAGACCTACAAGCCCTTGTGTAGTTTAATTTATATTTTACCAAATACCATTGCACATTATTTTTCCTAGTACACTCAGTATTTAACTGGTGGCAGTTCTCTTGCATACTTGTACATGTAGCATGCTCCTTATATATGACTTAAAATTGTTATGTTAATGTTCTCTTGGCAACAACAAAATAGTGCTTTGTTGGTCTTACAAGCTGTCCACAGGGAATTAGGGTCTAGGCCTGTTGAGACATAGAGGTGTAGGCAGAGCTTTGCATGGTCAAATGGTGTTCTTGTTTTAACACAGTGATGACAGAGTCTCTTCACTCTTGTGGCCCTGCCATTAAACTTGAAAAACTTATCGCCTGTAGGTACAGTTTCGTTTAGTAACCTATAAGAGACAGGCAACTTCATTAATCTAGACTCTTGAGATAGTCCTCCTTTTGTGTTCTTAGTGTTGCATAGTTTATTAAACATATATTAAGATGCCGTCGCTATACCTTCTGTGCCTTCCAGTTTATTTCCAGACATGTGGTCAGCAGGCTGGGCACTAGGTATGGCAGTAGGGTCTGTACCTTTCCACTGTTGAAGTCAGACATGCTTGGACCACCCCACCCCTGTGGGTGGGTCAGGGTAGGGAAACTTGCCTGCAACACCTCAGAGATATTTTTTGACCCTAATCTTCTGAACTCTGCAAGAGTTGAAGAGAGGTGGTGATGGGTAAATATTTCTCCCACTGGACCCTCTAGAGGACGCTTGTGAAATAGGCCAGGCTGGAACCAGGACATGGTTTTTGTTTACAGGAAACTTGCCTTGAAATACCACCCTGACAAGAACCCTGACAACCCAGAAGCCGCAGATAAGTTTAAGGAGATTAACAACGCCCACGCCATCCTGACGGACGCCACAAAGAGAAACATATACGACAAGTACGGCTCGCTGGGGCTCTACGTGGCCGAACAGTTTGGGGAAGAGAACGTGAACACCTACTTTGTGTTGTCCAGCTGGTGGGCCAAGGTGAGGGACTGCTGGGACACCAGACCCTGCAACACCTGTGTGCCAAGTTCAGATACTCCACTCTTGCGGGATGGCTTCTGGGCATGGGGCAGCCCTTCTCCTTGTCCTGTGTGATGGGCAAAGGCCTGTTGCTGGCTTGGTGACTTGCCTGGAGCAAGCTGCAGTGCGTATACAGAGTATACAGAGCAGGGCTTCAGCCAGTTGTATCAACCCAGTTTTCTTTATAAATGGTCCGAGTTTTTTAAAGGCTAGAGGTAGGAAATAAGCCTTCATTATTTACTTATTTATTTATTTTTTTCTTAAGTTAAAGTCTCACTTTGTCACCCAGGCTGGAGTGCAGTGGCATTCTCAGGGCCACCGCAGCCTCAACCTGCTGGGCTCAGGCCATCCTTCAGCCTTCCAAGTGGCTAAAACTAAACCTTCATTTTTTATTAACTTTCTTCATCTCTTCAATCTATTCCAGGTGTCTGTCATATGTAAGACCAAAGGGTGTGAATTATCCCATGGCCCGTAGCTTCAGGAAGCCCATTTTTAGTTTTTACGAGTCAGCCTCATTCCCATCTTTTTTTTTTTTTGAGTTGGAGTCTCACTCTGTCACCCAGACTGGAGTGCAGTGGCACACTCCCAGCCACCGCAGCCTTGACCTACTGAGCTCCGGCGATCCTTCCGCCTCAGCCTTCCAAATAGCTGTAACTACAGGCGTGCACAACCACGCCCGGTAATTTTTGATTTATTGTAGAGATGAGGTCTCGCCAAGTTGCCCAGGCAGGTCTCGAACTTGCAGACTCAGGCAATCCACTCACCTCAGCCTCCCAAAGCGCTGGGATTACAGGCTGAGCCACTGAGCCTGGCTCGTTCCCATCTTTATAGATTACTTTTCTTTGAGCAGCTGCTCTCTCTCTGTGTCTCCCATTGACTCCTTTTAAGTTCTCTCTTTATACTTTCTCATCAGGAAAACAATACTCTCAGCAAGACCCATGCCCTTTGCTCATGCTATAGGCATTTGGGAAGCATGCCCTCTGGGGGGGAGGGCATGTGACACAGGGTTCTTCTTCCCCAGGCCCTGTTTGTCTTCTGCGGCCTCCTCACCTGCTGCTACTGCTGCTGCTGCCTGTGCTGCTGCTTCAACTGCTGTTGTGGGAAGTGCAAGCCCAAGGCACCTGAGGGCGAGGAAACGGAGTTCTACGTGTCCCCGGAGGACCTGGAGGCCCAGCTGCAGTCTGATGAGCGGGGTGAGTGCTTGCCCCCGGACCTGTGTGTGTGCTTGGGGCAGAGCCAGACCGGGCCCTGAACGGTGTCAACCTGTCTTGTCAAACAGGAGGGCACTGACACTGTGCCGCGAGTGTTTGTGGTGGCAGCTGGGACTGTTGAGGTGTGAACGTGGACCCTGGAGGTAAAGCAGGCGCAGAGCTGGCCCCACCATGACCTGCGGTAGCCGTAGATCCCAGGGATGAGCGGTGGCGGGGCGGCAGGCAGGTGGGGGGCGAGGGCGAGGGCTGGCGGTGACCCAAGGCAACTGAGGAGGCCGTGCTGGTGGAGGTCGGCGAGCAGCCTCTCCTGTGGAGCTTAGCCAGCTGCCCGAGCGTCGTGACAGGACAAGTGTCGACAGGCACATGCCAGGCTGTTGCCCTCAGCAATGCCCTGTGTGTGCTTGTTTTTCAGAGGCCACAGACACGCCAATCGTCATACAACCAGCGTCTGCCACCGAGACCACCCAGCTCACGGCTGACTCCCACCCCAGCTACCACACCGATGGGTTCAACTAGGTTCAGGAGAAGCTGTGGTCAGAGGAGGAACAGCGCCCGGCCACGCCAACCTTAGCATCATGAACTGTAGTCACAGAGATGGGGGAAGTCCACTCGCCCACCCGCCGTGGCTGCGTCAGGGCCTCTCCCACCTCTTCCACGCCTGCCCAGCGTCGACCCTTGACCCACGAAGTGCGTAGCATGCAGTATTTAAAGCAGTGTAGCTACGGTCTTCTTCTGTTTTTTTCTTTTTTAATAGCATGTGCGGGGTTATGTTCCATGTCTGTGTTGTGGACGTGCCGTGGCGTGGCCGCGTTGGCCGCACGGTGGAGCTGCCTCAGGGCTTACAGTCTGGTCAGTCCAGGGAGGGTAGTTGGCTGCAGCTGTGGCTGCTGGGTGCCACCTGGCCAGTTGGGTGAGGAAGGGAGGGGCCACCCCTTCCCTCCTCGTGCTCGTGGAGGCCAGAGGCAGCTGCTGGTTGGAGCTGTGTTGCCATGTTGGCTGCAGGGTCTAGTTTGTGCTGTGTGCCGTCAGCCTCAGGGTCGAAGCAGGCTCAGATCTCACTTGTCAGGGAAGGGGCTGGGCTGTGTCCTCCTGGCACCACCAGCATCAACGCCCATTCCGTGGTTGGGTCAGTATGGCTGGCTGAATTGTGTCTACCGAGTTTCGTTGGCCATGTGGCAGATCCTCCTGTGGGGGAATGTGTTGTGGAAAGCATGGGCGATCCCCTTCTGAGACTGAAACCACATTCTCTTTACAGTGTTTCTAGCCTGGGTCTCCTAGTCATGACTGAGGTCTTGTCCTTGGAGGTGTGTTCCTTGTCCACGGGGTGGGGGATGTTTGCGTTCCTGCGCCTTTCCAGGACTGGGAGCTAGATGGATGGGGCCACAGTCTCCCCTCACCCCTCCCTGGGTCATCCTCCACATTCCTTTGAGCTCAACTATCCTTTTCTTAACTCTTTTTGGACCTTTAGATTTACAAGTGGTAGGACCAGTTCGGTTAGTAACAGAGGGACTGTGAGTCCATACTGAAAAGTGCCCAATTCCTGGGAATGGGTGGCCCTTAGCCCTCCTCACTGCTGGAGGCCCCACCCACCACATTTTCCTTTGCCCATCATTGATGATTCAGGCAGTGCTAGATACATTAGGACCCTGGAGGAAGAACTGGCTGGACCAGAGGTGCCCTTGGGCCTCTGGAGGGTTGGGTCCCAGAGAGGCCTTGGTGATTCCCTTGGCTTTTCAGCCAGCCTAGGAGGCCAGTAGTCAGAAGATGGGATCCATTTGTGGACAGTGGACATGAGTCTTCCCTGTCGGTGTCCCAGACCTTGTGGGTATGCCCGTGCTGGCCGAGAGCTCTCTAGCTGTGCAGGGCTTGGCTTCTGCAGAGCTTTCCTAGGGGCTACTGCTGAGCATCTGGATTTCCAGTAGAGATGAAAATGAGGAGGCCACACGGTGGTAGCTCTCCAGCTCAGACGAGCCGGAAAGTTCTCCTGGAGCCCACTCCCCTGCCTGCCTGCTGACTCTTGGCCCCAGTACACCCAGCCTCCTCAGCCACCCACCCAGGGCTGTGCAGAGGGTAGGTTCAGGTTGACCAAGAAGTTGCCAGAAGGGACATGGATGTGAGGACAAACCTAGGTGTGCTTAGGAACGTGGTGCTGGTTAAGCCCCAGCTGAGCCCAACAGTTACCCTGCAGGGCCACCAGCTGGCTGCCGTCACCAGGTCCTTGGGTGGTTCCGTTTGTCCCATTTTGCTTTGGTTTTTGTTCAATATAGTGATCATGGAGTCATTCAATGAGAAGGGAGATGTGCACTGTGCTTTTTAAATTAGGAATAACATGTTAAAACCAGACTTCTTGTAAAAGGATAAGCAATTCATGGCTTGGCCTGTTCTGGAGCAAGGGGGGAAGTGAGACAACAGGGAAACTTCTGTGCCAATCCTGATACAGCAGCAGCAAGAATTCAGCCTGAGGCAGCGCCCCAGTCCACCTTTGTGGCATTTTTAGCAGTAACTAGGAAGTGAGTTGTTTTCCCCAGAGTGGCCAGGAGTCAGGCTCTAAGCTTGGCTCTGAGAAATAGAGAGCCAACCCAGGACCTGGCCTCCGCCAACCTGTGGCGAGGACAACCCAGGGCTCTTTCACACCTGTCAAAGCAGGTCCCTTGCCAGGTGGTTTTTAAATTATACAGTCCTATCAACCATTTCTTAGAAGTAGGCAGCTTGCCAGGGCAGTGGGTAGGGCAGGATGGGGGAGCAGCGGGTCTAGAGCGTTTGGAACCTGGTTCTCTGCAGATTTTGTAAAAACTAAATGAATCATGGCCATGACAGCGACTCTCACAGAGATGGTGGGATTACATGGCCCAGACCCACCCTCCCAGGAGGGCTGAGTTCCTCTACTGCCTGACCTTGAGGAAAATCCTCTTTTTGGTGTTTTACCCTATTGGTTTTAAGGCCCTGTCTAGGCTTACGGACAAAATTCCTCTCATTCTCTTTCCCTGTTTTCTTGAGTAGACTCTCTGTTTTCTTTCTCTTAAGCAGAGCTGGTGGGTCCTGGGGCAGCTGGAGCCATGTGTTTACAAGTCAGGATGGCCCCACCTTCCCAGCACCCTCCTGCTGTCACTCAGGCTGCAGATGGTGCTGCAGCAAGCGCTGGGGAGTGCTGGGTTGCTGTGCATTGGGGCCTGTCCAGTTCCATGGGGTCTGGACCCCGGGCACTGCTGACCAACAGGAGCCACCTGAGGGTCCTGGGCTCGTTCCGGCAGCTGCTGGCATGTGGGTTTATTTCCACTCAGTGACGTGGGTGCGTTTGGTCTTCCTTTTGGCTTTATTTTTAAACTGCTTTAGATATTACTGCTTGGTGTTCGTGAACTTTCCTAATTCTCTGATGTTCAGTTAATGCAGCCGACACCCCGTGGGGACCTATTAGAAAAAGAAACCAGAGTGTGCGCTGTGGCTGGCAGGAAGCAGACTGCTGGGCTCGGGCTCCAGGTCCAGGCCCAGGTCCAGAAAGTCCCTGAAGCATCACACTAATACTGTTCTCAGACCTCTAGCCCAAGTGTCGCCTGGAGCCACCACCTCCCAGCACCCAATAGGTGGGTGCAGGCAGAGCTCAGCATGAGTCTTGTCAGTCCCCTGGCTCTTGGTGCCGCCTGCCGTGGGGACAACTTGTGAGGGGTATACAAAGTGACTGATCTCCCTTTCCCAGTTCTGGAGCTTTGAGCCCATGTGGCACAGGACTGCCCTGTGTCTTGGTTGTGAATCATACTCCTGTGGAATTGGCAGAGGCTCCATTCTTATTGTCCTCACCAGCACGGTTTGCGTCATCACATGCTGTGAGTGTGGGCTGTGGTGTGTCTGTGTGTGTACATATGTGCATATGTATATATCATGCAGCAGGTGTGTCATGCTGCTGTCCAGCAGTGAAGAAACAAGTACAATAAAAGCTGGCTCTTGGACAGCCTCTGGTTTCTTGGCGCGTCAGGCAGGGACAGGGTCTCTACAAGGTTCTCCTGGCAGATGCACAGGAGACACCGGGCCTATTGTGTGCCTGCCAGTATTGGCATCCACAGAGTCAGGCGCGAGGGTGGTTGTCACAAGCATGCCCGTCCCTGGGGGCTCTTTGTCATGCCCACCTGACCCTCAGGTGTGTGTCTCCATGTGGAATCTAAGTGACTGGAAACTGTTTCCGTCCTTGAAACGTTAAAACCTGTTTTCTAGGCAACAGATACAATCAGTGGCAAAGTTGAGTTCAAGGGCATTCTGGGAAAGGTCTGTCCTGGCCACAGGTCCACCCCAGAGCATCCACACGGGCGTGGACAGGGGCCATGCAGCACCATACTCCGGGGTAGATTTTGTTTTTCTAGAAAATGGGGAAAATGTTTCAAGCCACATGAGAGGAGGACGTTTACACTGAAACACATTGTTTTTAAAGATTAAATGCAAATGCATGGAAATCAGTTGTCCATGTACTGGTTTCATGCCGTTCTGCAATTGGATGTGTTGGATGTGGGCTGCTGTGGGCGCCTCTGGTGACCCTGCCTCTCACACGCACACCTGAGGGCCAGGTGGTTTCGCATGGTGATCTCTGTCTTGTGTGTCTGAATGTTGACCTAAAATAAAGATAACTGTTGTAAAATAAATGTTTTCACTGCAGACCCTGTGTGTGTCTCATTTAACGATCCTGCAGGTTCCTGATTTTGGTGAGTCTTGCACTGAGGTTGGCCTCAGGCCCCCCAGGAGCTGGAACCTCACCTGCCTTCTATCTGGCCCAGGTGTGGACAGACACCCTCCCCTTGGTGCTGTTCTCACCACCGTGTTCTAAATCCTGTGTTCTAGCTGGGCCCAGTGGCTCATGCCTGTCATCCCAGCTCTTTGGGAGGCAGAGGCTAGAGGATTGCCTGAGCCCAGGGGTTTGAGACCAACCTGAGCAACTTGGCGAGACCTTATCTCTACAATAAATCAAAAAAATTAACTGAGTGTGGCGGCGCGCACCTGTAGTTCCAGCTATTTAGAAGGCTGAGGGGGAAAGGCCCTGAGTCCAGCAGGTTGAGGCTGCAGTGGCTGTGAGTGGCCACTGCACTCCAGCCTGGGTGACGGAGTGAGATTCCTACTAAAAATAAAAATAAATAAATCCTGTATTCTAATCCCAAGACTGGAATGAGGAGAGGAATCTGTTAGCCGTGGGGTTGATGAGCTAGGGCTACGGTCCTGGACCCTCAATGCATGCCCAGCTCCATCATTTGAAGCCTTGCCTTGCATCCCTTGCTGGCTGCCCAGATCAGGTGACATCTTTCCCATGCCGGGCAGAAGACCTGTAGCCTTGATGCCCACACCAAGCCAGTGACTGACAGCCCTTGATTCACCTGGCTGACATCACTGGCTCCTCTCCGCCTGGGCCTCTGGGAACCCTCCACCGTACTCCCCACAGTGCCCATGGTGACATTTTCACTGACCTCGCTTCAGGATGCACAGGCTGCCACTCACAGAACTGCAGGCACCATCGTGAACTAAATGCCCGCTTCAGCACGGCTCTGCCCATTTCTGGGCCTGTGCCCTCAGCCACACCACAGGCCTCAGTGCTGAGCAGGCAGCAGAAGGTAGGGCTGGCGTGATAAGGGCAGAGGGCATGTCCCCAGGCAGTGGGTGCTGCAGTGACCTGTAGTACTTCACTGACCTTGTGCAGCTCCCTGGTGCTTGGTGTCACAGGTGGTTTTCCAGCAGTTCTACGGCCCACCCCGCCCAGGCAGCTGCACACACAGCTGCAGCAGCTCCTTCCCCCTGGCTGCTTCAGTCCAAGCCAGTGGTGGCCTAGCCCTGTACCCCACATGTCAGGGTGGACCACCCTCCTTGCTTTCTCTTCCTACCAGCCTTTGGGATTTGCAGTCCCGAATGTGTTCTCAGATTCATTTTATGCTACCACTTTGGGAGAGGGAACAGGGGTCAGCCTGGACCTAGCCAGGCACCCTGGACACCATGCAGAACTAATCCTGGGTGTCCACCCAGGCCCTAAATGGCCTTTGTGCCTATTTTCCCACCTCTGACACCTGTGGGAACACCATCTCTGCCTGAGGGCATGTGTGTCCCTGGGGTGTTCTGGATATACCTGGGCGAGGGCTCTGCTAGGGTACAACTGGAACCTGCCTGATGCCTGTGGACCCCAGGATTAAGGTGGGAGAAATCATCTGACCCTTGGGGCTCATGAATGGGCCTGCCAGCCAACTGCAAGTGCTACCTGCCATACCCTTGTGATTACTGTCACATGTGTAGAAGGTAGTGGACCCCTCCTCTTTCACCAATGCCCTTCTCAGGTGGGGGTGCTGAGGACTTCCTGTGCCCTTGGTCTTAGCTCACAGAAAGGCAGGACATTCTCAGAAATGAATTTAAAGTGAATTCTTTAGCCGGGCATGGTAGCACACGCCTGTAGTTCCAGCTACTTGGAAGGCTGAGGCGGAAGGATCGCCGGAGCCCAGCAAGTCGAGGCTGTGGTGGCCGTGAGCATATCATTGCCTTCCAGCGTAGGTGAGACTCCAACTCAAATAAATAAGATGAATATTTTTTTGAGTCAGAGTACTGGAGTGCAGTAGCGTGCTCATGGCCACCACAGCCACAACCTGCTGGGCTCAGGTGATCCTTCTGCCTCAGCCTTCCATGCAGCTGGAACTACAGACATGCACCACCATGCCCAACTAATTTTTTAAAAAATATATTGTAGAGATGAGGTCTTACCAAGGCTGGTCTCGAACCCATGGGCTCAGGCAATCCTAGCTTCCACCTCCAAAAGTGCTGGGATTACAGGAGTGAACCACCATGCCTGGCTTAAAAGCTAGTTTTTAAAATAATTTGGGAGCCAGGCATGGTGCCTCACACCTGTAGTTCTAGCTACTCAGGAGTTAAGGCAGGAGGATCAATTGAGCCCAGGAGGTCGAGGTTGTGGTGAACTATGATTGCACCAGGGCAATACAGCCTGGGTGATGGCGAGACTGTGTCTCCAGAAATTTTTTTAACATGCAGTTATGTTAGGTCTGGTTCATTCCTTTTAGCTTCTGTACAGAACACATGAATTAATGGCAACTGATCCTGGTCGAGTTGGCCACGCCGGTTTCTAGCTTTTCACTGCTGAAACAAGGCTGCCTGAATGTCCCTGTCACCCTGGGGTAAGGTCGCTGGGACCTGGGCTTGAAAGCCTGCTGGTGACGTGACCCATCTGCCTCACAAAGCGGCTTCCCCATCTTCTCACTGTCCCCTTACCTCCCTGCAGCTGTCGCATTGTCAGACGTTTTTTCTTGTTTGGTCTCCTGAATTGCTTTAACTAGGTAGAGTCCACGTTTATTATTTTTAGCATTTCATGTATGGGTTTTTTTTTTTTTTTTAATGTGGGGTACAATTCAGGGATAAGAATACAAATGTTCATAATGCAGGTACCCTTGTTGATGAGGTGTGCCCCCCTCCCCTGGCAGTTTCCCACTACTGCCAATCATTTTCTTATAATATTAACGGTAATTGTTCATGGGATTCTTGAGAAGCACGAAGCCATACCAAGCCTGAATGCTGTTCGTCCAGGGTGGTGAGCAGCGGGGCCTCTGCGAGTGGAGGTCTCCACCCCCCACCCCACCCCACCCCCGCTCCCTCTGGTCTGCAGGACCAATGGCTGGGCGGTGCTTGGCAGGATTCCTAACACCGCCCCGGCTCCCAAGGGGTCTCCTCGTGAGGAGCGCAGGTCAGGGTGCGGGACGGGGCCGCCGGAGGGCAGGGCCTGGGCGTGGTTGGTAGGTGGGGCCGACGCCAGAAGCCCCGCCCTCGCGGCGCTGGACCCGCAGTCGGAAGCGGAGGTGAGAGCCGGGGTGGGTCGGGAAGGCGGCACGGGGCTCACCGGCAGCGCGAAGCTTTGCGTGCCCGCACGCCTGCTCTGAGCCCGGTGTCCGGCCTCGCCTAGGGTCGGGCCCCAAGGACGCCGCACTCCTCGTCGTGTCCCATGCGCCCCAGCGTCACCCTTGAAGGGTCATACGCCAGGGGCTGGGCGTCCGGGCGGGGCCTCTGCCCACGAGCCCGAACCTGGGCGCGGGGACCACGCGGCACCACCTTGCGCGGTGAGCTTCGGGGAAGGAGCGCGGGCGGGACCGACGGAACCTGGCTCGCTGGCCCGCGGTCTGGAGGGGTGCGCGGGGCGGACCGCCCTCAGCGTCCCTGCTGTCCCCTCCCCGCGCGCGGCAGCAGATGGCGCGCC